AGACTTGTGTGCTCCGCGTTTGGCTTTGGCGGAGGCAGTGCGCAGCGCCTGTCTTCACTGAGTTCCGCCAGGTCGATCAGTCTCGGGCGAGGTCTCCCCAGTTGGCCGGATTGATTTGCAGACGCTTCAGGCAGGACTTTAGAGTATTCTTGTATCGACAGATTTGGCCTCCTTGGCGGCGAGAACCCGCCGTGACGATGTCTCCGTAGAAGAGTCGTTTGGGTGGTCGCTCGTCGTCCATGCGCGCCAGGTGGCCGCTCCAGCGCAGCTGCATTTGTCTCTGCATGGTGTAAATGCTGACTATCCCAGTCCGTTCCAGCTCAGTCTCAGTATGTGGCGGAGGCAACTGAGGTGGAAGTGGTTGAGTCGGCGTGCCTGCTTTGTGTACACCATCCAAGTCTCTGCTCCGTACAGCAACGTCGGGAGGATGACGGCCTTGTGCATCTTCAGCTTCGTGGTTAGTTGGAGAGCATGACGAATCCAAACTGTGCTTTGGAGGCGGCCGAAGGCTTGAATGGCCTAGGTAATCCAGCGGACCACTTCATCCCCGATTTTCGTGCTGCGGGAAAGGGTGCTGCCTAGATCCGTAAAGTTGTCCACCACTTGCAGTTGGGTTCCGTTAACGCTGATTTGTGACGCATTGTGAATTGTGTTGGGTGGCGGTTGGTGCATGACAACCGTCTTCAGCGTGTTGATGGTCAGACCGAAGTTCTCGCAGGCGGCGGAGAAGAAGTCCATGCTCCTTTGCATGTCCTCTTCCGAGGTGGTGTTCACGGCGCAGTCGTCGGCGAAGAGAAGTTCGTGAACGGTGGTTGTGGATACGCGCGATTGGAAGTGCATCCGCCGTTGATTCAGGAGGTGACCGTCCGTCCTGTAGGCGATGCGGATCCCGGGGTGCTCATCACGTAGGCGTCCATCAGCATGGCATAGAGCATAAGACTGAAGAGGGTTGGTGCCAGCACGCATCCCCACTTCAGTCTGTTGGTCACTGCGAATGCCTCTGAGACAGCTCCGTTGTCCGTGACTCGCGCCATCATACCGTCGTGCAGCTGACGCACCAGCTGAGAGAGTATTATACCTAAACGCGCCAGTGAGATCTGCGATTGTGTCGATTTGGAAAATGCCCTGATTTTGGAACAGACTGTCAGTTTTCATAGATTACAAAGCGAAATATCAGAGGGTTCAGAGAGTGATGACCACACTAATTGCAGCTTCAGAAGGCAATTTTCCTCCAAAAATTGCCTTAATGTGTCCATTTACTTAAAAGCAAAGTGGACAGTTTATTGACTGCAAAAACCCGGGTAGCGGGAAGGGCATTCAGCGTGTGCTGCAGTAAGTCCTCTCGTTGTTACGATGTAGCCCATTCCACAAGCCGGGCGACGCGTGCGCCTTTTGCAAATTATGTGAATAAATTGTAGAGCGAGCTGTGTGCTTGCTGTAAGAAGGCTGAATCATCGCTGTTGTTCGGGGTTTCGTTAAGACGAATCCATCTGCAAAGATTACGCAAATGCCACTGTCCAGACTGATTCCACTATCAGTCGTAGCTGCATTCGAAAGACAGCGAAATGGAAGCGTGTGTTGTGTGGGAAAATTTTTAACAGCATTTTCTTTGGTCTCCTGCTTCGCACACATGCATCGATCAAAACAACCCCCGGTGTTCAATAATGTAAGCGCTGTTTCGTGTAGAAAAAAACATACCTTCACGTTTTCTAATGTAAACATTATGCTGTGTCTGGATTGAGACGCAGGGGCAAGGCTGGCTTTTGATTTGCTATCGCATGTGACATTGGGGTAAACAGGACCTTGTAAATGCTGTTATGCAATCAACCTGGGAGGTGATTTAGGTGCGTGTTCAACCATCTGGTAGGAGTAGATTTGGATGTCGTATCATAAGCTTGGGAATTCGCAACTCAATTGAAATATGGTCAGTCGAGCGACGCGTAGCAAATGTACACTTAGTGTCCTTGGCCCTCTTCTAAATCCTGCCAGTGCACTGGATGTGGTCGCTATCTCAATATTACTTATATTACGAACTAAGAAATTTATTGTTTTGGCGTCTAGAATTTCTAGCTGTGATTCAGACCCCAATGGCAGTTCGCCAACGCAATTTCTCCGGAAACTTGCATGAATTAATCTCCTCTCAAACTAAGTCATAATGTCTTTTTGCGTCACCCTCCTGTCTACTTCTTCTTCGGTTTCCGTTTCTTCTTCTTCTTCTTCTTCTTCTTCTTCTTCTTCTACTACTACTACTACTACTATTACTCAGTATCTGACAGGCATTACATCGAATGATGCCCGAGTAACAAATATGGGGAATCGCAGTGGACTCGATCGAATTCTTCATCTCCCGATGTCCAGATTCAAAGCGTTCTTTACGTTCTATTGGGTAGATAGAATGCATACCGATAGACTCGTTAATTTTTTTCATTTTGATTCGGCTTACTTGTGGGAATGTAGGTTCTGTGCCTTTGAAATGACAAGTTGTCAATCCCGGGTTTTCTTTCGACTAACTGTCGATCCATATTTTATAAAGCGTATGATTTGGAATTACTTCTGTCAACCAAAGAACATGGCAAAACAGGAGTAATTTGTCTTCAGGAGACGTGGTTGAATAGCCATTTTGACTCGGAACTAATCACTCCTTCGTCATTTTGTTGTTTTCGAAATGATAGACCATCTCCAACAGGCAGTAGAGGTGGAGGAGTGGCCATGTTTGTCAATCAAGACTGGTGTATAAACTTTGATATCATCGTGCAGCGACACTTCAATATGATGGAGCAATTTGCTGACCGAATTCTGAATGACACCGTCCATCCCCTTCATAATGAATTAATGGCTGCGAAATCCTTACGCCCTATGCGTCGATGCTTCCGCCACATCCCTTGTCGCACTTTGGCTTATCAGAATTCCATACTGCCATTTCTAGCCCCGTATCTCACCTGCAAAGATGCTGAAAAACAAAAACTAAAACTCGATCTTGCACCTTAAAGTTTTTTTTTCTTCATATATAATTATGTCCACCTGTCCAATACCTGTTAATCTCCATGGTAATCACTGTGTACTGGAGAACCGTTTTTTGCTGAAAGTTTTGAATGTTATTTCCAAAATAAAGCATTCCTCTCTCTCTCTCTCTCTCTCTCTCTCTCTCTCTCTCTCTCTCTCTCTCTCTCTCTCTCTCTCTCTCTCTATTTGTTACAAAGAAGGCGATTGTTTCAGAGATGCCATGGATAAATTATCGAAAATTTGCAGTTAGTTTCAGCGTCCCAAGTTTTAGAAACAGTATCACTTTCAAATGCGTTTTAAAATTGTCAATGTATGGATCACTGCTACAATTAATTGTAGGCGTCAAAGTGAATGTCAAAATGCCTGTGCAATTATTTCGTGACAATGCGGAAATGTTACTGAAATATTGCGAGTACCATTACAATGGTAATAAATTGATGTCGTGGGACGTAACTGGGACATCGGTCGCGTGGCACCACAATGTTTAATAGGTACTGATCCCGCCTCTTCTTTAAATCCACTACGGATGTGAACATAAAGATACTTACAGGCAGAGAACTTCAAGCTTAAACCAGCCTGTCAGAGAGCTAGAACTTCCGTGTGTCCAGTCCGGCTCTAGTTGGTTCGTCGTGACTGCTAACACAAAGAAGTCTCCAGGTCCGAGACGGCAGTTCCGACCGCGCATGACGTGGATTGATCGTATCAGGTCTCCTCTTATATGACGAGATTAGATGACCGCGTTTCGTAAATTAATGAGCCCTGCACAATAACGAGCTAAACTGCACGACGTTGAACTCTTTCGAGGACGCTGAGGACCTTTGTGGTCCTTGATTAACCAACACCAACTCTGGTCACACAAACGTTCCGGGAAGAGAAAGCCCGTCTGACAGGGTACAGGAGGGATATCGTGTATTTGGCTACCTTTGAGCAGTGCAGGGATGGATTAAGTGAAGTCGTGATCCGAGCGCCCAAGCCCTCATGAACCGCTACTCCCTATAGTAGTGTGCTGAAGTACTTGACTACTTGGCCTTTGACAATCTTGTCACGTTTGTTTTACTGTAGCATTTGTTTTAACGTGACGAACACTCCGCCGCTTGTAAGCTTCGCGCCGCTTGCATGCTCTCTGGTCAGGTCGTTGCACATTTTGAATATTAACTTTATTCACTTACTGGCCTTCCTTACCTCTATCCGTTTATGAGGTTAGTAAGCTGTAGTTCGTTAGTTCGCGGGAACGACATAACTTACGTCATTGGTGATTCCCGACGTTAGCGCAGACTTCAGTTCTTTCCTTCTGTAACATTTGATGACATTTAACGTCCTGTATTTACTTGCTAAATTTTAGTTCATTTAAATTTCCCGCTAACCTTTTCACGATATTGTGCTACCTATATTTTGCTTATTATGTCTTCCTCAACTCAACAACCTGACGTTCCTGCCGAGTCTGTTCATGCCGTCCATTTCACTTTGCCTGATTTCTGGCAACATGCCCCTGAACTTTATTTTATCCGCATTGAGTCAGCCTTTTACTCCGCCAACATTACGAAGGAGTTGTCGAAATACCACAAACTTGTGGAGGTTCGCCCTGCCAATATTATCTCACAAGTTCAACCCTTGTTAGTGAAATCCCCTGCAGATGCTCCCTATTCTGCTCTGAAGGCGGAAATCCTTCGTCTCAATGCTGTATCTGACCGACAACGCTACCACCAGTTGATCAAGGAGGAATCACTGGACGACCGGAAGCCCTCAGAACTTCTCCGACGAATGCGTACTCTCTTAGGAGACATGCATGTCGGACTACACACCGGACTACACACCGGCAGAGAGAATAAAACGTCGACAATTAGTTTTGGAACTGAGAACAAGGTTGCAGAATGGCGAGACGGATCTTGTGATCTACAACAACCAGATAGTGCAGCGCCCTCCCCTAATCCGTTGGACCGAACCGATCCGGATGAGGGCACAGTAGCTTCCTTAAATGGGATCACAAGCGGCACCATAATCAAACGCCCCAAAACTCTGAAACTTACATTTTTTTACACCAACGTGCAGAGTATATTGCCCAAGTTAGACGAACTGAAGATCCACATCTGTGACCTTTCCCCTGACATTGTCTCTTTGACAGAAACCTGGCTGTCTGAAAACGTGGATGACCGCGAATTAATGCTACCAGGATTTCAGCTGTTTCGAAGAGACAGGAGAGAGCGTCAGGGA